CCTCCCTCTGACCTCACAACAGCCCCCCTCTGTACCTCAAACTAACAGCCCCCTCTGTACTCACAACAGCCCCTCCCTCTGTACCTCACAACAGCCTCCCTCTGTACCTCACAACAGCCCTCCCTCTGTACCTCACAACAGCCCCCCTCTGTACCTCACAACACAGCCCCCCCTCTGTACCTCACAACTAACAGCCCCCCTCTGTACCTCACAACACCCTCCCTCTGTACCTCACAACAGCCCTCCCTCTGTACCTCACAACAGCCCTCCCTCTGTACCTCACAACAGCCCTCCCTCTGTACCTCACAACAGCCCCCCCTCTGTACCTCACAACTAACAGCCCCCCTCTGTACCTCACAACAGCCCTCCCTCTGTACCTCACAACAGCCCTCCCTCTGTACCTCACAACAGCCCCTCCTCTGTAACCTCACAACAGCCCCCCTCTGTACATCACAACAGCCCTCCCTCTGTACCTCACAACAAGCCCCCCTCTGTATACCTCACAACAACGCCCTCCCTCTGTACCTCACAACAGCCCTCCCTCTGTACCTCACAACAGCCCTCCCTACTGTACCTCACAACAGCCCCCCTCTGTACCTCACAACTAACAGCCCCCCCTCTTACCTCACAACAGCCCTCCCTCTGTACCTCACAACAGCCCTCCATCTGTACCTCACAACAGCCCTCCCTCTGTACCTACAACTAACAGCCCCCCTCTGTACCTCACAACAAGCCCCCCTCTGTACCTCACAACAGCCTCCCTCTGTACCTCACAACAGCCCTCCCTCTGTACCTCACAACAGCCCCCCTCTGTACCTCACAACAGCCCCCCCTCTGTACCTCACAACTAACAGCCCCCCTCTGTACCTCACAACAGCCCTCCCTCTGTACCTCACAACAGCCCTCCCTCTGTACCTCACAACAGCCCTCCCTCTGTACCTCACAACAGCCCCCCTCTGTACCTCACAACAGCCCCCCTCTGTACCTCACAACAGCCCTCCCTCTGTACCTCACAACAGCCCTCCCTCTGTACCTCACAACAGCCCCCCCTCTGTACCTCACAACAGCCCTCCTCTGTACCTCACAACAAGCCTCCCTCTGTACCTCACAACAGCCCTCCCTCTGTAACTCACAACAGCCCTCCCTCTGTACCTCACAACAGCCCCCCTCTGTACCTCAACTAACAGCCCTCCCTCTGTACCTCACAACAGCCCTCCCTCTGTACCTCACAACAGCCCTCCCTCTGTACCTCACAACAGCCCTCCCTCTGTACCTCACAACAGCCCTCCCTCTGTACCTCACAACAGCCCCCCTCTGTACCTACACAACAGCCCTCCCTCTGTACCTCACAACAGCCTCCCTCTGTACTCACAACAGCCCCCTCTGTACCTCACAACAGCCCTCCTCTGTACCTCACAACAGCCTCCCTCTGTACCTCACAACAGCCTCCCTCTGTACCTCACAACAGCCTCCCTCTGTACCTCACAACAGCCCTCCCTCTGTACCTCACAACAGCCCCCCCTCTGTACCTCACAACAGCCCCCCTCTGTACCTCACAACAGCCCTCCCTCTGTACTCACAACAGCCCCCCTCTGTACCTCACAACACCCCCCCTCTGTACCTACACAACAGCCCCCCTCTGTACCTACAACAGCCCTCCCTCTGTACCTCACAACAGCCCTCCTCTGTACCTCACAACAGCCCTCCCTCTGTACCTCACAACAGCCCTCCCTCTGTACCTCACAACAGCCCTCCCTCTGTACCTCACAACAGCCCCCCTCTGTACCTCACAACAGCCCTCCCCTCTGTACCTCACAACAAGCCTCCCTCTGACCTCACAACAGCCCTCCCTCTGTACCTCACAACAGCCCTCGCTCTGTACCTCACACAGCCCTCCCTCTGTACCTCACAACAGCCCCCCTCTGTACCTCACAACAGCCCCCCTCTGTACCTCACAACAGCCCTCCCTCTGTACCTCACAACAGCCCTCCTCTGTACCTCACAACAGCCCCCCCATCTGTACCTCACAACAGCCCTCCCTCTGTACCTCACAACAGCCCCCTCTGTACCTCACAACAGCCCCCCCTCTGTACCTCACAACAGCCCCCCTCTGTACCTCACAACAGCCCCCCTCTGTACCTCACAACAGCCCTCCCTCTGTACCTCACAACAGCCCTCCCTCTGTACCTCACAACAGCCCTCCCTCTGTACCTCACAACAGCCCCCCTCTGTACCTCACAACAGCCCTCCCCTCTGTACCTCACAACAGCCCCCTCTGTACCTCACAACAGCCCTCCTCTGTACCTCACAACAGCCCTCCCTCTGTACCTCACAACAGCCCTCCCTCTGTACCTCCAACAGCCTCCCCTCTGTACCTCACAACAGCCTCCCTCTGTACCTCACAACAGCCCTCCCTCTGTACCTCACAACACCCTCCCTCTGTACCTCACAACAGCCCCCTCTGTACCTCACAACAGCCCTCCCTCTGTACCTCACAACAGCCTCCCTCTGTACCTCACAACAGCCCTCCCTCTGTACCTCCACAACAGCCCCCTCTGTACTCACAACAAGCCTCCCTCTGTACCTCACAACAGCCTCCTCTGTACCTCACAACAGCCCCCTTGTACCTCACAACAGCCTCCCTCTGTACCTCACAACAGCCTCCCTCTGTACCTCACAACAGCCTCCCTCTGTACCTCACAACAGCCTCCCTCTGTACTCACAAACAGCCCTCCCTTGACCTCACAACACCCTCCCCTGTACCTCACAACAGCTCCCTTGTACCTCACAACAGCCTCCCTCTGTACTCACAACAGCCCCTCCCTCTGTACCTCACAACAGCCCTCCCTCTGTACCTCAACAGCCCTCCCTCTGTACCTCACAACAGCCCCCCTCTGTACCTCACAACAGCCCTTCCTCTGTACCTCACAACAGCCTCCCTCTGTACCTCACAACAGCCCCCTCTGTACCTCACAACAGCCCTCCCTCTGTACCTCACAACAGCCCCCCTCTGTACCTCACAACAGCCCCCCCTCTGTACCTCACAACAGCCTCCCTCTGTACCTCACAACAGCCTCCCTCTGTACCTCACAACAGCCCCCCTCTGTACCTCACAACAGCCTCCCTCTGTACCTCACAACAGCCCTCCCTCTGTACCTCACAACAGCCCTCCCTCTGTACCTCACAACAGCCCTCCCTCTGTACCTCACAACAGCCCCCTCTGTACCTCACAACAGCCCTCCCCTCTGTACCTCACAACAGCCCTCCCCTCTGTACCTCACAACAGTCCTCCCTCTGTACCTCACAACAGCCCTCCCTCTGTACCTCACAACAGCCCTCCCCTGTACCTCACAACAGCCCTCCCCTCTGTACCTCACAACAGTCCTCCCTCTGTACTCACAACAGCCCCCCTCTGTACCTCACAACACGCCTCCCCTCTGTACCTCACAACAGTCCTCCCTCTGTACCTCACAACAGCCCTCTCTCTTTACCTCACAACAGCCCTCCCTCTGTACCTCACAACAGCCCTCCCTCTGTACCTCACAACAGCCCTCCTCTCTGTACCTCACAACAGTCTCCCCTCTGTACCTCACAACAGCCCTCCCTCTGTACCTCACAACAGCCCTCCCTCTGTACCTCACAACAGCCCTCCCTCTGTACCTCACAACAGCCCTCCCTCTGTACCTCACAACTAACAGCCTCCCTCTGTACCTCACAACAGCCCCCCTCTGTACCTCACAACAGTCCTCCCTCTGTACCTCACAACAGCCCTCCCTCTGTACCTCACAACAGCCCTCCCTCTGTACCTCACAACAGCCCTCCCTCTGTACCTCACAACTAACAGCCCCCCTCTGTACCTCACAACAGCCCTCCCCTCTGTACCTCACAACAGTCCTCCCTCTGTACCTCACAACAGCCCTCCCTCTGTACCTCACAACAGCCCTCCCTCTGTACCTCACAACAGCCCTCCCTCTGTACCTCACAACAGCCCCCTCTGTACCTCACAACAGCCTTCCCTCTGTACCTCACAACAGCCCTCCCTCTGTATTCAACATACATATATGAGACATAACTTCTGATCTTCAAAATTTCTTGGATCAAAGTAACTACTTTTCAATTCCGAGACCCAGGAGGTACATCTCAACATCGCCAAGAAGTGAAGGATAACCTTCAAGAGGCCCAGAGCCTGGCTGAACACCCTTGAGAGGCGCGATAACTGCAGTTCGACACCTCAAGAGGTGTCGAACTGCGCCAACCTCCTGCGCCAATAGGTGCAGGAGATGGAATTCAACATTTTCAAGAGCCCCAGGAACCAGATCTTGATACAGTCAAGCATCTGGGACTGAAACTCCAGACGACCAGTCGAAGACTATGAAAATATTAGATTTCACCAAACTAAGTTGCTTATCTGTGTGGAATCTGGAACATAGACTTTGCTGTGATACATTATGGGGATTGTACAAAGAGCCAATAATAGCTTTCATGGGTGGTTAGTCTCGCTGCCATATCACGAAAGCCAATACAGTGATCTATACGAAACTCACCTCACAGCAGGCGTTCCCTGCAAGTATGTGCGCCTGACCATAACACTGTGACTTATAAAAAATCTTGAATAGGCTTCTCTTTCAGAAATTACTGCAGTTTGCAATACTAAAATATCTTTTAAACTGTTGATGGAACTGCATAAAAATATTGTTTAGAGATTGAAGTGCGTGATACTGAGCAGTGACACTGAGCAGTGACACTGAGCAGTGACAAGGAACAGTGACATACTGAACAATGATATACAGTGACATACTGAGCAGTGATATACTGAACAGTGACATACAATGATATACTGAACAGTGACATACAATGATATACTGAACAGTGACATACAATGATATACTGAACAGTGACATTGACATGCTGAACAGTGACAGTGATATACTGAACAGTGACATACTGAACAGTGATATACTGAGCAGTGACATACAGTGATACACTGAACAGTGACATACAGTGATACTGAACAGTGATATACTGAACAGTGACACTGACATGCTGAACAGTGACAGTGATATACTGAACAGTGACATTGACATGCTGAACAGTGACAGTGATATACTGAACAGTGACATTGACATGCTGAACAGTGACATACTGTGATATACTGAACAGTGACATTGACATGCTGAACAGTGACAGTGATATACTGAACAGTGACATTGACATGCTGAACAGTGACATACTGAACAGTGACACTGAGCAGTGACAAGAAACATTGACATACTGTGATATACTGAACATTGGCAGACATAATGAACACTGACGTACTGAGCAGTGATATTCAGTGACATAATGAACAGTGACATATAATGACATACTGAACAGTAACATACAGTGACCTACTGAACAGTAACATACAGTGATATTCTTGACTCACGAAATCGTAATGACATGATTGCAAACAAACCATACCACGGGTGGGGTTTGAACCCGCGGTCTGGAGTTTTAAGACTATGACCGCGCGTTCAGACCCCACCCGTGGTATGATTAGTGATATTCTTATTGATCCAGATGGATAAGTTGCATACCCATAATTTTTTAATAGACAAATTAATAACCAAAAGCAATAAAAGTTCGAACCTACGTAGGCACGAATATGTACGTACGAAAATGTTTGTACATTGTTACTTTCGGAATAAACGATGTTTGAATATCACTTTAGGTAGTTTATTTACTATACCAAGGTTCAGTAAATACCTCCTCAGTGGCAGGTGTTCACTCCACTGGTGCACGAATACAACTTCCCACGGCGGATGTTGATTGGTTGGGTTTTAAACCCTACCGACTACACCAGGAACATTTAGGCTGCACCACCTGGCAAGTATACTTTACTCCTAAAATTTTGGATCAACGAAAATTCTCAGCATATATACCGTAATAGATACCCACCTTGACGGGGGAGTTGACGCCATCACTTGGCCGATCTGAAAGAAAATAAATACCCGTCAGCCGTTAAAATAACATTTTTCACTGCGTTATTTCATTAATTAAATGCAGTCGTTCATTTTCTAAGCCTTGAACATTTCCTATTCACATTTTGCAATATATATAACAACAACAAAATGTTATCCTATTTGATCACCGTTAGTCAGCTCATCCCCAATAGATCTATTGGTTATAATCATAACTAATTTTTAAAGGGGTGGACCGGTAAGCCAGCGGAAGGGCTCGGACAGATGACCAAAAGCTCCAGTGGCAGGTCATCATATGACTAAGACCCGCTTCAGGAAACACTTGTCCCGTTTCCTGACAAATCGAACCTAACCTAACCTAACCTTACCTATCCTAATCTAACCTTACCTAACCTAATCTACTAACCTAACCTTACCTAACCTAATTTAATCTAACCTTCCCTAACCTAACTAACCTAACCTTACCTAACCTAACCTACCTCACGTTACCACCTATTTACTTTACCAATCATTTTCACCAAACCTCAAACGTATCATAATGCCATCTAATATTCCAACTCGTTAACTAATTCCAAGGCGACTAACATCATCTTTTATACTCATTAATATTGACTAGCTTCCAACAATCTCTATTAGTAATAACCTATCATTGCCGTTTTGTTTACTATATTGTGCCACTCTAAATGGATCTGATGGCAGTCGTACATCAATGTAAAATGAAATATTTAAGCGACACGCTACTAAATACGGTTTAACATTCTATAGGAATCTATTTGTTTTTTGCGAAATATTTGGGAGCCCATGATCCCGGCAGGCATGTTATACTGTGAAAGATGGCAATTGTTTAACGACAGCATAAATGTTTATAATGATAGAACATGTTTGCGAAACACAACCAATTTGTAGTATCACTGCGAGACTTTATTACTGTATCCACACTGCATTTGTTAAGAAGCATAAAACACTGACACCAGTTGGTTAGACACAATTAGTATCTACGCGAGACTTATTAATAGCTCTCCCACACAGTGGGATTGTCAGATAACAGATACCAGTAATAGATCTATCTGCGATGATAAAGCCCACTGTGGGGCGGACGTTGTCAAAGATCGCATTACACTGTGTCTGTTTTTATGCATCGTGTTAGTGTTTTATACAATTTCTTTCCACTTGTTTGTAAGTAATCAGTGTGGTCGCCAGGGAGGAAGGAGTGGTGCACATCTTGAGAGGAGGGGGTGGAGGAAGATTGTCTTGAGAGGAGGAGGCAGAGGAGGATTGTCTTGAGGGGAGGGGGCGGGAAAAGACTGTCTTTAGAGGGGGCAGGGAGCTGTTTCTTCTGAGAGGAGAGGAAGGGGGACAGGTTGAGACGAGGGAGTGGCCCTGGGAAAGATAACCAGGTTGTTTTGAGCGTAGGAGGTTGATGGGGGGAGAGGGGGTTGTCTTGAGATGAGGGGGACGAACAATCTTAGACTTCCGCGTCATTGTGGTGACACAGCCTCGCAGAAGCTGCCTCACCTCGAAGGTAAAAATCCACTGAAACCATTTTTTTTTTTCGGTTTACTTCAAGTGAGTTTGTTATCGAGAACAAAACATATTTTATTGATAAAGTCTATCTGCGAGACTTTTATTTAGAAGAAGACACAGGAAGAGGATACTGAGCAAGTACGTACACACACACACACACACACACACACACACACACACACACACACACACACACACACACACACACACACGTAGTCAAGGTACAGGTATACAAATACAGTTAAACAAATTGTCATACATATCAGTATATGTGTGATTACCAGGATAACACAGAGAAGTCAAAGTGACTTAGTGAAAAAGTATGCAACACGAATAGTCCCGGAGCTAAAGGGTATGTCCTATGAGGGGAGGTTATAGGAATTTAACCTGAGATACTGGAGGACATGATAGCCTGGAGGATACATGATTACGACGTATAAAATACTGAGAGGAATTGACAAGGTGGAGAGGGACAGAATCTTTCACAGACGGGACACAGGAAGACGAAGGCAACTGGAAGTTGAAAACTCGGGTGAGTCATAGGGATATTAGAAAGTATTTATTCAGCCTTAGAGTTGTCAGAAAGTGGAATAATATGGAGAATGAAGTAGTAGAGGCAGGATCCATATATATTTTTAAGAAGAGGTACGATAAGGTTCTTGGAGCCAGGAGAGTGTGGACCTAGTAGCGACCAGCGAAGAGGTGAGGCCATGTGTGACTCGACCCCTGCAACCACATATAGGAGAGGCCGGGCACTCGCTCGCACACGCGCAAGCGCGCACACACACACACACGCACACACACACACACACACACACACACACACACACACACACACACACACACACACACACACACACACACACACGCGCGCGCGCGCGCGCGCGCGCGTACATCATCCAAATAACTGCCGCAGCATAGGGGCGCCTAACAAACCTCAGAACAACATTCCGCCATCTTAATAAGGAATCGTTCAGGACCCTGTACACCGTGTACGTTAGGCCCATATTGGAGTATGCGGCATCAGTTTGGCACCCACACCTAGCCAAGCACGTAAATAAACTAGAGAAAGTGCAAAGGTTTGCAACAAGACTAGTCCCAGAGCTAAGAGGTATGTCCTACGAGGAGAGGTTAAGGGAAATCAACCTTACGACACTGGAGGACAGGAGTGATAGGGGGGACATGATAACGACATATAAAATACTGAGAGGAATTGACAAGGTGGACAGAGACAGAATGTTCCAGAAATGGGACAAGCAACCAGGGGTCGCAGTTGGAAGTTGAAGACTCAGATGAATCACAGGGATGTTAGGAAGTATTTCTTCAGTCACAGAGTTGTCAGGAAGTGGAACAGTTTGGGAAGCGATGTAGTGGAGGCAGGATCCATACATAGCTTTAAGAAGTGGTATGATAAAGCTCATAGTGCAGGGAGAGACCCAGTAGTGGAAGTGGCCAGTGAAGAGGCGGGGCCAGGAGCTATGAATCGATCCCTGCAACCACAACTAGGTGAGTACAACTAGGCGAGTACAACTAGGCGAGTACACACACACTAAAATAACAAGGATGTGGTACAGAGCATGAACCAAGAAGACTGAACCACAAAGAATACATTTGTTAAACTGAGACAAACTGAGAAAATAGTGAGACAGTAAACTGAGACAGTGAACTGAGACAGTGAACTGAGACAGTGAACTGAGACAGTGAACTGAGACAGTGAACTGAGACAGTGAACTGAGACAGTGAACTGAGACAGTAAACTGAGACAGTGAACTGAGACAGTGAACTGAGACAGTGAACTGATACAGTGAACTGAGACAGTGAAACTGAGACAGTAAACTGAGACAGTGAACTGAGACAGTGAACTGAGACAGTGAACTGATACAGTGAACTGAGACAGTGAACTGAGACAGTAAACTGAGACAGTGAACTGAGACAGTAAACTGAGACAGTGAACTGAGACAGTGAACTGAGACAGTGAACTGAGACAGTGAACTGAGACAGTGAACTGAGACAGTGAACTGAGACAGTGAATTGAGACAGTGAACTGAGACAGTGAATTGAGACAGTGAACTGATACAGTGAACTGAGACAGTGAACTGAGACAGTGAACTGAGACAGTGAACTGATACAGTGAACTGAGACGGTAAACTGAGACGGTAAACTGAGACGGTAAACTGAGACGGTAAACTGAGACGGTAAACTGAGACGGTAAACTGAGACGATAAGCTGAGACGGTAAACTGAGACGGTAAACTGAGACGGCAAACTGAGACGGCAAACTGAGACGGTAAACTGAGACGGTAAACTGAGACGGTAAACTGAGACGGTAAACTGAGACGGTAAACTGAGACAGTAAACTGAGACAGTAAACTGAGACAGTAAACTGAGACGGTAAACTGAGACAGTAAACTGAGACGGTAAACTGAGACGGTAAACTGAGACAGTAAACTGAGACAGTAAAACTGGACAGTAAACTGAGACAGTAAACTGAGACGGTAAACTGAGACGGTAAACTGAGACGGTAAACTGAGACAGTAAACTGACACAGTAAACTGAGACAGTAAACTGAGACAGTAAACTGAGACAGTAAACTGAGACAGTAAACTGAGGCGGTAAACTGAGACAGTAAACTGAGACAGTAAACTGAGACAGTAAACTGAGACAGTAAACTGAGACAGTAAACTGAGAC